GTGTGGTAGGAGATAATGGATTGCTTCATACATATCACTTTGTGTTTTGATTTTTGCTGGTAACGCTCAGGGGTGGGGTGGGGGTGGGGATACTTTCCCCAGCGACTATCATCCCATCTGTACGCACAACTCTGAATGTCTGGTGGAGCTATCAGAAAATGTTCTCGGGACATTTAAAAAACACACCACAGAGTCATGAAGCCATCTGTTTAGTGTTTATTAGTGCCAAATGATACCTTTTTTTCCCTAATCAGTGAGTCACCAAAAGACACGGTCAACACTTCAATGCTATGATTATCTGAGTAGTTAAACAGCTCAATGGTGGCGMGGCATTGGGAGGGGATAGACCAGGTTGGTGGTCTCCATTTTTATAAAYGAGGACCAGATAATTTGTTCCAACWATTGATAAATTACAATTCTCAACCTCCTTTGGAAAGTTTTATCCAGGGTGTTGGAAGGGAGACTCCAACCAGATCTTCACCCTGGCTGAGATGTTAAGTGGGTCATGGATGTTTGACTCTCTGGTCTTTTGTGAAATTAGAGAAGGCTTATAACRGTGTTCCCTGAGGTGTTTATTAAGAAAGTGCTGATTTAAAGGGCTATTTGGTCCCCACATGACCAAGCCAAGAACTGTGTCTGAATGCTTGGCACAAAGTCAAGCTCTATACGATTGGACTCTGTCAGCGCTGTCCCTTGTCTCTGATCTCATTTGTGGTGTTCAAGAAACAGATCTCAAGGCACAGGCATTAACAGGAAGTCTGATTTGGGAACTTCAGGGTCTCGTCTTTGATTTGTGCAGGTGATGTGGTTCTGTTGGCGTCTTTGGGCGATGACCGTCCAGCATGTGCTGGGCTGGTTTGTAGCAAGTGTGAGGAGTCATCTTCTCTAAGTGTGAGGTCATGGTTCTGAACTAGAAKAAAGTGTGGTGCTCCCTCTGACTCTGAGGTGAGTCTCTGCTTCAAGCTGAGGATTTCAAGAATCAGGGATTCTTGCTCAAAGAGATGTGAGGATATAGTGAGGATATATATATATATATGGAGAGCTCAGAGTAGAACTGCTGAGTCTCACATTGAGAGGAGTCAGCTGAGGTGGTTCCTTCCTGATTAGGATGACTCCTGGAAATCCACTTGAAGGATTTCCAGCCGCATCGCACTGGGAGAACTCACTGGAGGGATTATGGATCCTCTCTGACCTGCACACCTTGGAATCATCCCCGGGAGGAGCTAGAGAGAGTTGCTGGTTGCAGGGATATTTGAGTTTCCCTCTTAAACCTGTTGCCTCAGCTGTGGAAAATGGATTACGTTTGATTGATGACAATTCTTTGTTAAACTTCAGAAGATGCCTCATCGAAACAAACTGCAGAAGATCAGTTAAAATTGTTTTTTTTATTTTTCTTTCAGCTTTGCCTACCAGGAATTAGTTGTTTGATTTCACAGGTTTTCTGTTATAAATCTGAAATAAAGCTTTCAGTACTTTTTATCAGAGGATGTGAAATTCAGAAAAGTGTGCAGTCAGTGCTGTAGAAGCGAACATTAAATCTGTGGTCAAATTAGCCTTTGAATAACTTACAGGAAATGTGCGCATATTTTTGCATTTTGAAGAGTTTGATCGTTGTATTGTAAAWGTTTTATTTTCTTTATATTTTTGACTTGTATTTGAATGTTTGCATTATGTAAAGTTTTGTCAGAGTGAAATGCCTCATGTACAGATGTTAAAAKCCAGCAAACATTAACACTGGTCAATACACAGTACGTTATGAAAATGCCTTTATGATTTATTCTCATCTTTTTTTTAGTCGTATGAACAGGGAGTTATCTGCTTTCAGACATTTCTTTTTTTCAACATATTTCTGCCTCAAAGTTGCCTTTTATAATGACTCATWTGTTGGCATCCTTTGTTTCTGGTGGTTTGTTTGTGGACCAGGTGTGAGTTTCCCCAGTGAAGATAGTGTTAACAGCAACACTGTAGACCTGCATCTTTGAGAGGAAAACTCAGCGTCAGGTGTTTTCAGGTATGAAGGAGACATGATGAGCAGGAAGTCAAACCTCAGTGTGACAGGCAGCATCGTGCATGTTCTACTGTTCTACTGTGTAGCCTTTACCTTCTGTCTGTAAAACCTTTAATCTGTAACTCCCTGCAGAGATTACAAATGATAACTGCTAAAATAAACTGCTGAAATACCTGACCATTGACTAAATGTCTCTCATTAAAACTAAAAAAATGTTTCAATTACTAATAGTAATTAAGGACTTTTTGATGTGAAAAGAGAACCACAATCAACAAAAAAATGTTAAAGCTGCTCCCAGTGGCTTGTTAGGGTCCATCCATCCATCCATCCATTTTCTTCCGCCTATCCGGGGTCGGGTCGCGGGGGCAGCAGCTTCAGAAGGGAGGCCCAGACCTCCCTTTCCCCAGCCACTTATTCCAGCTCCTCCGGGGGAACTCCAAGGCGTTCCCAGGCCAGCCGAGAGACATAGTCCCTCCAGCGTGTCCTGGGT